TATATGTATATATATACAAATATATATATATATATATATACCTAAAAGATAATCCCAATAAAGTACTCGACGGTGCAATTGTTTGTGATTGTGTTGACGATGCGGATGATACAATCGATGGGGATTGAGATGAAGTCCACGGCAACAGCGATGGTGCAACAGTAATATTCTTTGGTGGGATATACAGCATGTGGTGCATGAGAAGGTACGTTAATAACACTTAAGATTGCTACTGGTAACTGCGATAGTGCAATTCTAGTCTTCATTGGTGAGATATCATGTGGTACCTGAAAAGCTACAGCATTGGCACTTGGATTACTACTGGTAACTACGTTAGCGCAAGTATAGTCTTTAATAGTGAGATACCATGTGGTACCTTAGAAGGTAAGCAATAGCAATTGAGATTGCTCATGGTATCTGCGATAGAGTAATTATAGTCTCTATTAGTGAAATTGCATGTGGTGCCTGAGAAGATAAGAAATAGTAATTGGGATTGCCACTGGTAACTGCGATAGTGCAATTATAGTCATCATTGGGAGAGCATATGGTGCCTGAGCAGGTAAGCAATAGTAATTGGGATTGCTACTGGTAACTGCGACAGTGTAATTATAGTTTTCATTGGTGGGATAGCATGTGGTGCCTGAGAAATAAAGAAATAGTAATTGGGATTGCCATTGGTAACTGTGATAGTGCAATTATAGTCTTCACTGGTGGGAGAGCATGTGGTGCGTGAGAAGATACAGCTTTGGTACTTTGCATTGGCACTGGTAACTGCGATAGTAATTGTGGTGCCTGAGCAGGTAAGCAATAGTAATTGGGATTGTCACTGGTAACTGCGATAGTGCAATTATAGTCTTCTTCGGTTGGATAGCATGTGGTGCATGAGAAGGTAAGCAATAGTAATTGGGATTGCTACTGGTAACTGCGATAGTACCATTATAGTTTCTTTCAGTGGGATAGCTGTGGTGCCTGAGCAGGTATGCAATAGTAATTGGTATTGCCACTGGTAACTGCGATAGTGCAGTTATAGACTTTATTGGTTGGATAGAATATGGTGCATGAGCAGATACTGCATTGGTTCTTTGCATTGGCACTCGTAACTGCGATAGTACAATTATTGTCTTCTTCGGTGGGATAGCATGTGGTGCACAATAATGTAAGCAATGGTAATTGGGATTGTTTCTAGCACCTGCGATAGCGCAATTATAGTCTTAATTGGTGGAGTTGTATGTGATGCCTGAGAAGGTAAGCAATAGTAATTGGGATTGCCACTGGTAACTGCGATAGTGCAATTATAGTCTCCATTGGTGGAATAGTATGTGGTGCCTGAGAAGGTAAGCAATTGTAATTGGGATTGTTTCTAGCACCTGCGATAGCGCAATTATAGTCTTAATTGGTGGAGTTGTATGTGATGCCTGAGAAGGTAAGCAATAGTAATTGGGATTGCCACTGGTAACTGCGATAGTGCAATTATAGTCTCCATTGGTGGAATAGTATGTGGTGCCTGAGAAGGTAGGAAATATTAATTGGGATTGCTTCTTGTAACTGCAATAGTGCAATTATAGTCTTCTTCGGTGGGATAGTATGTGGTGCATGAGAAGGTAAGCAATAGTATTTGGGATTGTTTTTGGTAACTGTGATAGTGCAATTATAGTCTACTTCGGTGGGATAGCATGTGATGCCTGAGAAGTTAAGCATTGGGAATTAGGATTGCTTTTGATAACTGCGATAGTGCAATTATATTCTTTTTCGTATGGATAGCATGTGATTCCTAAGGAGGTTAGCGATAGCAATTGGGATTGTTTTTGGTGACTGCGATAGTGCAATTTTAGTCTTCATTGGTGGGATAGCTGTGGTGCCTGAGAAGGTAAGCAATAGCAATTGGGATTGCCACTGGTATCTGCGATAGTGCAACTATGGTCTCCTTTGGTTGGATAGCATGTTGTGCATGAGAAGGTAGGCGATAGTAATTGGGATTGTTACTGGGAGCTGCGATAGTACCATTATAGTCTTCTTCAGTGGGATAGCTGTGGTGCCTGAGAAGGTAAGCAATAAAAATTGGGATTGCTTCTGGTAACTGCGATAGTGCAATTATAGTCTTCTTCGGTGGGATAGCATGTGGTGCATGAGAAGGTAAGCAATAGTAATTGAGATTGCCGCTTGTAACTGCGATTTTGCAATTGTAGTCTTAATTTGTGGCTAGTATGTGATGCCTGAGAAGGTAAGCAATAGTATTTGGGATTGCCACTGTAAACTGCGATAGTGCAATTATAGTCTTCATTGGTGACATAGCATGTGGTGCCTGAGAAGGTAAGCAATAGTAAATGGTATTGATACTGGTAACTACGATAGTGCAATTATAGTCTTCTTCGGTGGGTTAGCATGTGGTGCACAACAAGGTAAGCAATAGTAATTGATATTGTTTCTGGTTACTGCGATAGTGCAAATATAGTCTTCTTCGGTGGGATAACATGTGATGAGTGAGAAGGTAAGAAATGGTAATTGGGATTGTTTGTGGTAGGTGCGATAGTGCAATTATAGTCTTCTTCGGTGGTATAGCATGTTGTGCCTGATAAAGTAAGCAATGGTATATGGGATTGTTTCTGGTAATTGCGATAGTGCCATTATAGTCTTCATTTGTGGGATAGCTGTGGTGCCTGAGAAGGTAGGCAATAGTAATTTGGATTGCTACTGGTAACTATGATAGTGTAATTATAGTCTTCTTCGCTTGGATAGCATCTGGTGCACAATAGGGTATGCAATAGTAATTGGTATTGTTTCTGGTAACTGCGATAGTGCAATTATAGTATTTTTCGGTGGGATAGCTTGTGGTGCCTGAGAAGGTAAGCATTAGTAATTAATATTGCCGCTTGTAACTGCGATTTTGCAATTATAGTATTAATTTGTGGCTAGTATGTGATGCCTGAGAAGGTAAGCAATAGTAATTGGGATTGCTACTGGTAACTGTTGGTATTGCTTCCGATAACTGCTATCGTGCAATTCCAGTCTTCTTCGGTGGGATAGCATGTTGTGCATGAGAAGGTAAGCAACAGTAATTAGTATTGCTACTGGTAACTACGATAGTGCACCTATATTCTTTATTGGTGGGAAAGCCTGTGGTGCTTGAACAGATACAGCATTGGTACTTTGCATTAGCACTGGTAACTGCGATAGTACAATTATTGTCTTCATTGGTGGAATAGTATTTTGTACCTGAGAAGGTAAGCAATAGAAATTGGGATTGTCACTGGTATCTGCGATAGTGCAATTATAGTCTTCTTCGGTTTGATAGCATGTGGTGCCTGAGAAGGTAAGTAATTGCAAATGGGATTGCTTCTGGTAACTGCGATAGTGCAAATATAGTCTTCTTCGGTGGTATAGCATGTGGTGCATGAGAAGGTAAGTGATAGTAATTGGGATTGCTACTGGTATCTGCGATAGTACCAATATAGTTGTTAGCGTGCGGTGATGGGGACTATAAGTAAAGTGTTAGTGTATTTAATGTATGGTGCGTTCGAATGAATTTATATACTGATGGTTTTTGTAATAGTGTTCAACCATTTGGGTTGGCCATGGTAAAAACTCATATGATCGGTATGAGAAACTTTATGCAGAACACTTTAGCACTCGGATATATTCTCTAGAAATAAATATATCACATTCTCTGTTACCACACTCAGTCTCGGACCTCGGCTCTCGGCTAGCCGGTGGCCCGTATCCTATAAATAGAATAGTCTGAGAAGAAGTCTCAAATTACTCTTACGTTCACTCAGGCTGACCCACCTATACATATATTAATTTGAGAACAAGTCCCAAATTACTATCGGGCTGACGACGTACAGCGTTATTGTTGTACCTGAGAAGGTAAGCAATAGAAATTGGGATTGTCACTGGTATCTGCGATAGTGCAACTATAGTCTTCTTCGGTGGGATAGCATGTGGTGCCTGAGAAGGTAAGCAATTGCAAATGGGATTGCTTCTGGTAACTGCGATAGTGCAATTATAGTCTTCTTCGGAGGTATATCATGTGGTGCATGAGAAGGTAAGCGATAGTAATTGGGATTGCTACTGGTATCTGCGATAGTACCATTATAGTTGTTAGCGTGCGGTGATTGGGACTATAACTAAAGTGTTAGTGTATTTAATGTATGGTGCGTTCGAATGAATTTATATACTGATGGTGTTTGTATTAGTGTTCAACCATTTGGGTTGGCCATGGTAAAAACTCATATGATCAGTATGAGAAACTTTATGCAGAACACTTTAGCACTCGGACATATTCTCTAGAAATAAATATATCATATTCTCTGTTACCACACTCAGTCTCGGACCTCGGCTCTCGGCTAGCCGGTGGCCCGTATCCTATAAATAGAATAATCTGAGAAGAAGTCTCAAATATTGTCATTACTGGTGGGATAGTAG